TAATTTATTTATTTATTAAGGATTTCTGCCTCCTCCCCACAACCGCTTCCCATTTCCCTCCCCTCCCCCGATCAAGTTTTTATGTAAGTATAAGCTACATGTATCATCCACATTCTAGATTCTCAAGGGAATGCTGTATATGTAGTTTTGTTTTCCACAAGAATATGACATTTCCCTCTTTGGGCACATAATATCACCCAGCTCAGCCTGTCTGGGCGCTGGGTCAGAATCCTCAGGGCAACCAAGCGGGCGGGAGTTCCTTTGTTTCACTAGCCTGCCTGCACCAAGCAAGGTATGCGCTTTGATTGCGAGCTACCCAACCAGCACGGAGACCTGATCTCGGTGCCAGGAGAGCCAACATTGGGGTGAGTTTCTGACCCCACGGCAACAGCCTGGGACAGGGAACTCAGAAGTTCCTCAACCCCCTGTCCTTCTTGGGCTCTCTGCAGGGCCTCTACTCCCTGCATACTGCATCTTTCTTCCTATCCCACGCAGCTTGCATCCAGAACCCTACCCACTTCGGCCCCCCTGCCCTCTTTGGGCACATAACATCACCCAGCTCAGCCTGTCTGGGCGCTGGGTCCATATACTCAGGGCAACCAAGCAGGCGGGAGTTCCTTTGTTTCACTAGCCTGCCTGCACCAAGCAAGGTAGGAGCTTTGTTTACGAGCTACCCAACAAGCAAGGAGACCTGATCTCGGCGTCAGGATAGCCAGCATTGGGGAGAGCCATCATTGGGCACGGAGATCTGATCTCGGCCCCAGGAGAGCCATCACTGAGGAGAGCCATCACTGGGAAGGTACATCAGTAGGCAAGGAGACCTGATCCTGTAAAAGAAGATCCATACGGGAGCATTCAGAGGAAGAGATGGGCAGGCGCCAATGCAAGAATTCACCCAACAATCTGAAAAGCAACATGAAGCCACAAGAAACCAGCGACCTCACAATGGGATAACATAAACACCTTAATCAAGAAGAATTATTAAAGATTGACTTCATGAAAGTGATTGACGACCTTAAACAGCATGTAAAGAACGTCCTTATAGAAATGGATGAGAAATGTAACAGAAAGTTTGAAGAATTGAATAAATCAGTGAATGATACCCTAGAAAACCAAGGAAAAACAATCAAACAGATAATGGAAACAGTTCAAGACTTGAAAACTAAAATGGAGGCAAAGAAGAAAACACAAACAGAGGGCCGGCTGGACATGGAAACTTAAAGTAAACAAACAGAGTCTACAGAAACAAGCATAACCAACAGAATACAAGACATAGAAGAAAGAATCTCAGATTCCGAAGATACCATAGAGAAAATAAACACACTGATCAAAGAAAACAGCAAGTCCAATAAACTCTCATCACAAAACATTCAGGAAATATGGGACAAAATAAAAAGACCAAACCTAAGAATAATAGGAGTAGAAGAAGAAGTGTAGCTCAATGGTCCAGAAAATATATTTAATAAAATTATAGAAGAAAACTTTCCCAATCTAAAGAAAGATATACCTATGAAGGTTCAAGAAGCATACATAAAAACGAATAGGCTGGATTAAAAAAAAATCCCCTCGCCATATAATATTCAAAACACAAAACATACAGAATAAAGAAAGAATATTAAGAGCTGCAAAGGAAAAAGGCCAAGTCACTTATAAAGGTAAACCTATCAGACTTACAACTGACGTCTCCATGAAAATCATGAAAGCCAGAAGGTCCTGGATGGATGTACTGCAGAAACTGAGAGACCATGGATGCAAGACAAAAAGGCAACCTACTGACTAGGAGAAGATCTTCACCAACCCCGCAACAGACAAAGGTCTGATCTCCAAAATATATAGAGAACTCAAGAAACTAGACTTTAAAATGCTAAATAACCCAATTAAAAATTGGGGCACTGAACTGAACAGAGAATTCTCAACAGAAGAAGTTCAAATGGCCAAAAGACACTTAAGGTCATGCTCAACCTCCTTAGCAATCAGGAAAATGCAAATCAAAACAACTTTGAGATATCATCTTACACCTGTCAGATTGGCTAAAATCAAAAACACCAATGATAGCCTTTGCTGGAGAGGTTGGGGAGGAAGGGGTACCCTCATCCATTGCTGGTGGGAATGCAAACTTGTGCAACCACTTTGGAAAGCAGTGTGGTGGTTTCTCAGGAAATTTGGGATCAACCTACCTCTGGAACCAGCAATATACCCAAGAGATGCCCGATCATATGACAAGGGCATTTGCTCAACTATTTTCATAGCAGCATTATTTGTAATAGCCAGAACCTGGAAACAACCTAGATACCCTTCAATGGAAGAATGGATGAAGAAAGTGTGGAATATATACACATTAGAGTACTATGCTGCAGGAAAAAAACCAATGACTTGGGGGCTGGAGAGATGGCTCAGAGGTTAAGAGCATTGCCTGCTCTTCCAAGGGTCCTGAGTTCAATTCCCAGCAACCACATGGTGGCTCACAACCATCTGTGATGGGGTCTGGTGCCGTCTTCTGGCCTGCAGGCATACACACAGACAGAATATTGTATACATAATAAATAAATAAATAAATATTAAAAAAAACAAAAAAACAATGACTTCTCGAATTTTGCATGCAAATGGATGGAAATAGAAAATACTATCCTGAGTGAGGTAACCCAGACCCAAAAAGATGAACATGGGATGTACTCACTCATAATTGGGTTTTAGCCATAAATAAAGGTCAGTGAGTCTATAATTTGATATCCTAAAGAAGCTAAATAAGAAGGTGAACCCAAAGAAAAACATATAGCTATCCTCCTGGGTATGAGAAGTAGACAAGATTGCCGGGCAAAAAAATTGGGATCTTGGGGGGGGGTGGGATGGGGTAAGGGGAGATGGGGAGAGAAAAGTGACAAGGGTAGGATGGGGGGAACTTGGGGAAACGGGATGATTGGGATAAAGGAAGGTTGGGTAAGGGAACAGGGAAGCACATATCTTAATTAAGGGAGCCATCTTAGGGTTGGCAAGAGACTTGGACCTAGAGGGGCTCCTAGGTTCCCGAAGGCGAGGTCCCCAGTTAGTTCCTGGGGCCGCTGAGGATAGGGAACCTGAAATGACCCTATCCTATAGCCATACTGATGAATATCTTGCATATCACCATAGAGCCTTCATCTGGCGATGGATGGACATAGAGACAGAGACCCACACTGGAGCACCTGACTGAGCTCCCAATGTCCCAAGGAGGAGCAGAAAGAGGGAGAACATGAGCAAAGAAGTCAGGACCATAAGGGGTGCACCCACCCACGGAGACAGTGGGGCTGATCTATTGGGAGCTCACCAAGGCCAGCTGGACTGTGACTGAAAAAGCATGGGATAAAACCGGACTCTCTGAATATGGCGGATAATGAGGGCTGCTGACAAGCCAAGGACAATGGCACTGGGTTTTGATCCTACTTCATGTTCTGGCTTTGTGGGAGCCTAGCCAGTTTCGATGTTCACCTTCCTAGACCAGGATGGAGGGGGGAGGACTTTGGACTTTCCACAAGGCAAGGAACCCTGACTGCTCTTCAGACTGGAGAGGGAGGGGGAGAGGAGTGGGGGGAGGGAGAAAGGAGTGGGGGACATGGATATTAATTCACACATCTACAAAAACCTGATTTTTGACTAAGAAGCAAAGAATATCAAATGGAAAAATGAAAGCACACTTAACAAATGGTGCTGGCATAACTGGCTATCAACTTATATAAGAATGAAAATAGACCCATATCTATCACCAAAAAACTTGCACAAAACTCAAGTCCAAATGTATCAAAGACCTCAACATAAAGCCAGCCACACTGAACCTCATAGGAGAGAAAATGGGTAGTACACTTGAATGCATTGGTACAGGAGACCACTTCTTAAATATAACCCCAGGAGCACAAACACTGAGAGAAACAATTAATTAAATGGGACCTCCTATAACTGAAAAGCTTCTGTAAAGCAAAGCACATGGTCAACAAGACAAAACGACAGCCTACAGAATGGGAAAAGATCTTCACTAACCCCACATCAGATAGAGGTCTAAGCTCCAAAATAAACAAAAAGCGCAAGAAATGGGTCATCAAAAGAACAAATAATCTAATAAAAAAAAATGGAGTATAGACCTAAACTGAGAACTCTCAACAGAAGAATCTAAAATGGCTGAAGGATACTTAAGAAAATGGTTGACATCCTTAGTCATCAGAGAAATGCAAATCAAAACAACTCTGAGATTCCATTTTATACCTGTAAGAATAGCCAAGATAAAAATCACTGATGACAACTTATGCTGGAGAGGTTGTGGAGAAAAGGGAACACTCCTGCATTGCTGGTGGGAATGCAAGCTGGTACAGCCCCATTGGATGTCAGTGTGGCAATTTCTCAGAAAATTAGGAAACAACCTTTCTCAAGACCCAGTAATACCACTTTTCGGTATATATCCAAAGGATGCTCAATCATGCCACAAGGACATATGCTCAACTAGGTTTATAGCAGCATTGTTTGTCATAGCCAGAACCTGGGAATAACCTAAATGCCCCTTGACTGAAGAATGGATAAGGAAAATGTGGTTCATTGACACAATGGAGTACTACCAGCAGAAAAACATAATGACATCTTGAAATTGGCAGGCAAATGGATCGATCTAGAAAATATCATATTGATTGAGGTAACCCTGGCCCAGAAAGACAAATATATGTACTCACTCATAAATGACTTTTAGATATACAGCAAGCAAACCCAGACTACAATTCACAATCCTAGAGAATCTAGACAACAATGTGGACCCTAAGAGAGACACAGATGGATCTAATCTACATGGGAAGTAGAAAAAGACAAGATCTCCTGAATAAATTGGAAGCATGGGGACCATAGGAGAGGGTTGAAGGGGAAGGAAGAAGCTTGGAGAGGAGCAGAGAAAACTGTATAGCTGGAAAAAATAAAAAAGTATTTAAAAAAAAGAAAAGAAAATCCTTGCCAGAAACATCTGCCGAGCCCTGACAAGAGATGCTTACTGTGATAGGTTGAGCTCAAATCTCAATTTTTTTCACCACGACACCATAAAGTTCTTGTAGGATACACATAATTCTTGTATTTTTTCCAGCACCTGATGGCCCATATACTAGGAGGTGAGGAAAGTCACCAAACTGAACCTAGCGAAGAAAGAACAAGGCATTTTACTTCGTCGAACCCAGGTGCTCCAGGTTAAACTACTTCTAAAGCACTAAGGTATTTTGTTCACTATCTGACTCCAATAGAAAATTTATCAAACTCTCATGTTTGCTTTCTCTGGGCACTAATTTAATCTAACTTGCACGCACAACACAGAACATGCAAGGCACAACACTAAATGCTTAAAGGCAGGAACTCCCTCAGCAAGCTCTCTGAAGGGCACTTTCAAAAATGAGGGCTGATAGGAATGGGGAACTGATCTCTGTGACTGAGACAGATGCTTGTCTTGCCTGGGTTCCCAAAATGATTTTCTTGCTAAGAAGGGGGTACACTGATTCCCTTGCAAGTTCATTTGGGGGGTACAGGAAGACTACACATAAGGGATGCTATGGGAAAGAGTGTGTTATCAAACAGCAATAAGACAATGACATCAAACTAAAGGGCACTGTGGGCATGGGGGCTTGATCCGATGAGAAGATGTAGACTTTAAAAGTAAATTCATTAAGGCGTAGGAATAGTATACTAACCCCTGTCCTAAGAATATAAACAAGTAGCCACAGGAATCAATAAAATGTGTCCATCCTATGGCTAGGAAACTTAACCTTGAAGCTACTGTAAAAACCGGTGTGCAGACACATGAAGTATAATGCTCGATTTTTATATATTGCACGCATTATAAGAACAACAACAAAAAAGACAACTAAAACATATCTTCCACTTCCCTCCCGATTCTTCCAAAAACTCTCATATGGAGGATAGAGGCACTAGGTAAAATAAGTCCTCGTTTTCAGAAAGGACTTAGCTGTGATTCCAAAGAGGCTAGCAACTACGAACAGGGTGCAGGGCACTGTCCCCTCCATCAGCCCGCCATCTAGCTACCTGCAGCAGGAGAGCCTGTCGGCCCCATCCCTTCCTACAACCGGGGTTTGCAGCCTCCGCCAGGTCCGCACCCCAAGCTCACGGAACCCCGGGCAGCCGAAGCAGCACTCCGAGGAACTTGTCACTTTGGGTCCCCCTAAGCCTGCAGCGCCCGCCTTCTCACTCCCTTATCCTTGGGCTTTTCAGGAAGTGGCGGAACGTGCCGGCCTCCGCCGTCCCGGACTGCTCACCAGGTTGCTCAGCTGCACCGCCTGTTCCTTGTGATAGTCCAGCCGGGCGAGGGAGCGTGGCCGCTATTTGTCCACCCAGAGGCTCAAGGCTGCTGGAGTCCCACCGGTGCGCCAGCCAGCTAGACGAGTTTCCCGCGAGCTCCAAACCGCGGGTCACTTCCGGCAGCGGACGACTTCCGGATTAGAGACTATGGTACCCGAATGGTGCCTGAAATAGTCACCGGCAAAGCGCACAGCAGCCTCTCCACCCCAGTTCCCACGCTCCCATCCAGCATGGGTAATTCATGGTGCAATTCTTGCCCCTTTATTCTCACCCTCTGTTACATTTTAGAAAACATTCGATGGAATTAAAGACACATCAATGACAGTCTGAGCTTCCAATCTGAGTCTTAGGAAAGTTTCCTCCATTTCATTCATCCATTCATTTATAAATTCATTCAAATTTATGCCACAGAAATTTATCTTTTTTGTAGAGTTGGTTTTCTCTTAATTTTTTTTATACCAAAGAGCTTTTGCCTACATGCATCTGTGAACTGTGTTCTTGGTGCACGTAGAGGTCAGAAGAGGATCTCAGATCCCCTGCCACTAGGGTTACAGATGGGTGTGAACTGCCATGGCAGTGATGGGAACTGAACCCAGGTCCTCTACAAGAGCAGCCAGTGCTTTTAAACACTGAGCCATCTCTGCTGCTCTAGAACTGTGTTCTTGTCAACTGCAGTTAATCCATCTCTAGGTTCGCTCACAGGCAGGTACCCAGTAGAGATTATTGAATAAATATTGGAAGGAAGAAAGATGTTAACTTTATTTTACTTTATTTTTTATTTCCATTACACAAAATTCTTAATGGATTAGAATAAAAATAAAATTAAAGTACCATGAAAGACGACAGAAAGCCATTAGGGAAGAACATATGGGGTTAACATGCTATTTTGCACAAAGCACATTTGAAAATCTTCTAGGTAAACAACAAAGTGTGAAACACTTGGGAAAATATTCTGTATATCGTGGCCACACAATCATGGTGCCACTTAGATGCACATCTTAAAATGTGTTTTCTAGTGTCAGTGAGTTCTTTCCAACTCTTCCACACCCCTGAAACCCTGTGCCATTTTCTCAGTGATTTCATCAGGAATTTTAATTATTATCATTCTCTCATACAGGACATTTTGACCACAATTTCCCCTCCCTCCACTCTGCCCAGTCCTCACCTCCTCCCCCCAGATCCACTCTTCATCCATTTCCCTTCAGAAAAGAGCTAGTTTGCCATGGATATCAACCTAACATGTAAGACTTGGTACAAAGGGTCTCAGGAGCCAGGAGAAGCTCCACTTTGACTAGGTTTTGTTTGGGGAAAGATCACCTTCTCTAGGACTGAAAGGACTAATTCACAAATTGAAAGCTGGCCCAGGGAAGCTGCAAGTGCCCTCCAGCCCACTACTCTTACCTTTACCACTAGTACAAAGGATGTCACTTTTCTTCTTCCTTTACGATCGCCATATATTTGGTTTAAAAGTATTCATGAGTTAATTACACAGATTGAGTTCTGACCCTTGCAGGCACTTGGCTTGGCACCAGAGTCTCAAAGGCAAAGAACAAATAAACACAAATATTTGGATTTGGGGTTTGGAGGCCCCATTCAAGAACCTGGTATTGAGTAGACCATCAAGTGACTTTCTGGGCATGTAGTTTCTGACAGGTTGACTGACTGTAAAATGAGGCTGAAGGATAAGAGAAACCATCAGAACTGAAAGAAAAGTTCAGCACACACAGTCCCAAACCTTAGCATTCATGTTTCCACCTCCAGATATTATTTAATAGTAAAAGTAGAAGTGGTTTCTCACCTGCATTGTAGCATTAAGTTAGTTTGTAACACTCACATTTATTTTTACATGTATGCCTGTGTGTGAATGTTTTTGTTGCATGTATATGCTCTACATGCATGCTTGGTGCTGAGGTCAGAAGGTATTGGGTCCCCTGGAATTTTAGATTCAAAAGGATGTGAGCCCCCTTATGAAGCTGGGAACCAACCTAAGTGTCCTTAACTACTGAACAATCTCTCTAAACTCTAAACTCACACTTCTTAAATTTAGCAGATGAAATGATGTTTTGAGTAACCTATATGAAACAGCCTTATGGAATTTTATCAAGTATTTTGTGACATAAACCAATGGGTGGGACCATTTCAGAGCTTTGAATGAATCCTTCTGACTCTGTTACCAGTATTCCTACTGTAAGTAGATGACAGTGTTGGAGCAGGCCCTTACTCTACAGCTTCCCCATGTGACATACATAGTTTAGGAGTGAGAATACATCTCCAGAATACAAACTTGCAGCTCAGCAGTTCCCCTCTGCTGTGGGCACCCTTTACTCATTCATTTCAAACGCAACTTTCAGTGGTTTGCTATCCCAGGATCACAATGTGCAATTGTGATTGGACACTGGGATAGAACTAATGTAGTGCAGAACGAAGAGTTCCTTTCTTTCCAGATCCCTTCTTCGTGACATTCTCTTAAATCTGACTGTAACAGAAATTCTTGGTAGTAAAGACAGGAGTAGGTCAGGCCATCCACATCCAAGGTACTACCCTCCTGTGTAGACCTGCCTGGATGTGAAACGGCTGTGTAACCAAGGCTTCTAGAATGCAGAAATCCATCTCTGCCCATGAGTTCTGTAGTCACAGGAGAGCAACCCCACATCTGACTCAAGAAAGGCTGTAAAACTGAGGAGTCGAAAATTGATTTTATTCATAAAAATACTCTTTATACTCAATAGGAAGTCGAAAATTGATTTTATTCATAAAAATACTCTTTATACTCAATAGGAACTTTAGAAATGGTAGTCAGTATATAAAGGGTAGAGCCTTAGCCAACTATTAAAACAACAAGAATAACTTATTTAAAAAACCAACAACAAAATTTAAACCAAAGCAAAGAAAAAATATCCAAACAAATGAAAACCAAACCCAAACCCGAACCCTTGCTCCAATTAAGCTAAAAATAGTCTCTAGCTCTAGATCCAAAAAATCAATCGAGAGCATCTGGCTCCCTAAAGACACCAAAGGTGACCGAACCTCCTCTATAGGCCCTTTCTCAGGAATGACATGCCAGTCCAGGATGTGAAACTGGAGAATCCCCTGACATTTTCATTATGGATGATCAATGACTAACACAGGTGAGGGATGCTGTAGTCTCTGTACTGCGTTATCTTCACCAACACTTTCCTGTGACATGGAGTCTCCCTCAGCACTCACAGGAGAGGGAATCCTGTTCTTTTCCCTGTGGTGTGTACAGACTACAGCATGGCATCAGTACAGTCTTTCTCGTGAGAGTCCTCACCACATATGGAGGGCTCAGCCGGCTTACTAAAGATATGGAGAGTAAACTGACAGAGGAAGCCTTGCTCAGCAGCATATCCTCTCCATGCTGCTGTGTGCCACCCAGAGTCCACCTGCTGACCAATGTCGGGATTTGGAGTCATTCTTGGTGGCTCCTCTGAATATCAGGCTTCTTTCTCATGATCTCCTTTCTCCAGGAATAGTGGGCCAACAGAACATGAATCAGATTGGCGATGGATCCACTGCAGGAGGTGGAGATTTTTCTTACTCGTTTGTTCACAGCTACAAGGAGGGGTCTGCTTCTCAGTAGGTGTTGCTGCTCAAGTGGAGAATGTGTGAAGCTTCCTTCAGCCTCCTCAGATCTCCAAAGCGGAGCTGTCAGAGAAGAAAAGGCAATCAGATGCATAGGAAGCCTCATTGGATCACAGCCTAGACAAAACCAGGACCTGTCCACACATGGGAAACAAACATCAAGGAAGAAAACCCACGCCATGAATGCCAAGGTTGCAGGGGACAGGAGTCAATGGTGACTCATTGTCCTGGCACACACACGGCTTCTGCGGCAGCAGGTCTGTCTGCAGGAGGCTCTCATCCTGGACTGTGGCCAGATCATGCTGGAGGTTTTCATATTAGGGGAGGAAAACAGCTGGGACACAGGTCTGTTAAGGACCTCCCCTGTCAGCTTTTGAGCTCCCACCAGCTCTACTCAACTGGGAAATCCAGCATTACATTTGAGCTGGGCTCATTCACTCCTTGCTTCTTCAAGGATAAGACAGCACCTGAGTTTCTTTTTTTCTCCACCTTTAAAAATGCTAGAAAGTGAGCTGAGAAATACACACTGTGGTGAACTAGAAAAACAGCCCATTACTCCAATAGTTTAGATACATTCTTTTGAAAAAAAAAAACAGCAGTATAGCAATGTCTGGGTCACAGGCCTTGACCAGATGCCAGGAAACTGTGAGCAACCTGGGAAATTAACTGTATGAGGCCCTGAAGAGGAGCAAACACAACACTGCAGTGAAGGCTGGGCTTATTCCTTCAGCACAGAAACTTCCTTGGATTCAACATGTCAAACTCCTCTAAATGTGAGTTTAATTCCAGAGAAATCTCCTTACAGGAAACAGATGCAAACTGCAGAGAACTCATAATCAATAAGAAGGTACTGTATGATAATCTGCCCAAGTGTAGGATTTTATCTCTAAAGGTGATACTCCTGGAGGAAAATAATATGGCAGGAGGAGACACCGTCTTCCACAATTAACACTGCCTCTATTAGGTCTGGGACTACCATAGGAAGGATCAATGCACTCAGAACCCACGAGAGCACTCAGAATTGAAGAAGTGCACACCATTGAGAAAGATTAAGGATAACACATATTGCTTCTGTGCAGACATTTCTGTTGACTGAGCCAGCCCAATACTCTCAGATGTTCTTTTCCTGGCTTTGACTGAAAAGTCATGCAAATGTCCAGGAACCCAAATAGGACCGAGATTCAGGTACTGGGAACTACTTGATATAACTCCCTCTTCGTGGCCTGGGATCCTACCTCATCTGGGAGACAGTGAAGGGATTGTGTAGCTTTTCTGCCAGTTCCATATATTTGGTGACCAGATCCCTCAGCTTCAGCAGGGATTGTCGTCTTTCCACCAATATATCCTGTTTCTGTTCATTAGAAGATTATGTTCTTAGTGGAGGGTTGAACACTCAAATGCACACACAAACACACACACACACACACACACACACACACACACACACTCTCTCTCCTCAATGCACACTTCTGGATATACATGTACAAGAACATACACA